TTGGTATCCACACTCCTAATATATCGGACCGAGACGAGTTTGTTTCAAAATTTCGCCACACCCCCTTCCGCCCCCGCAAAGGATGCAAATCTGGGGATATTCACAAATCTCAGAGACTATTAAAGCTAGAGTAACCAAATTTAGTATCCGCACTCCTGTTAGATCTCACTATAAAACGTATATCTCAAAATTTCGCCCCACCCCCTTCCGCCCCCACAAAGGACGAAAATCTGTTGCATCCACAATATTGCAGATTTGAGAAAACTAAAAACGCAGAATCATAGATAACGACCATATCTATCAGATTGCTGAATCTGGATCAGATCAGATAATTTTTGTAGCCAAAAGGAACAAATCAATTTGCATTGGCTACGCAGCGCCCGACGTCACGCTCAGACTGATTTTCTGTCTCTCTCGCACGCACTCTTTGTCGTGTCGTTTAATATTAGACGCCGCCTGCTGGAGGAGAGCCATACTGACTTAGTATCGGGTATAACCGTAGAGTTGCGGTGTCCGCAGCAACTCACAACGTTCCCCCTCGTTTAATCTATTTATGTACCACCAAAATTAAAAATTATAAAAAACAAAAAAAAATTGTGCGTCCCTTTTCATATTACTTTCATCTCGCAAAAGATATCATAAAGTGCTCGCAAATGATATCATAAACAGCTCGCAAAATTCTCGCAAAGATGTTCTCTCTGCGCTCTCTCATGATGACGCGTCAGCACCCGAACGCCAGAGCCGAAGTCTCTGGGGTATTCAAACTGGTAACCCATCGTGTGACGCTTTCTAGTATGACCTGAACTATATACTGTATGGTTAGTGGTGTGGCTTAGGAATATCCCAGATGGATATAACTGGGAAATTTTCGGAACTGCAAAACCTTGTAAGCTTGTGGTTCAACAGTAAAATACATATATGTATTCTTGCACCAACTAATAATGTTGCTGCATATAAATAATGATGATGACTATAACTTTGACGAGGATGAGATGCTTGACTAAGTATCTGCCCAAAAATAAAAAAAACAAAAGCCAGTCATAATATTGTGTGGACCGTAATGAAAATTAAAAACTTATTTAATTTTTATTTCTTAACACTACCAACAGATTATTTTAAAAATGTGTTTGGACGAGCTTTTCCCGACTTTCATCATGTTCCTCCTTCTTCCTGTGATGCTCCTTCTGCTCTTCTAGGCATTCTTTGCCGATCTCTGCTCGCCAAGTAGTGTCATCTTTTTTTGTGCGCTTTGCTGGTGAAAAATGTGCAGCAGCAGCAGGATCCGTCCAGGTCGACCTCCAGCCAGTTCGGTATATTACTCTTTATATTTTTGCGGTATATCTCAAAAATGAGATGGTATATTTTGGTATTTTTTCTAAAGTTCAGACCAAGTGGTCACACTGCTCCTTCCTTTTCTTTTTCACCTTCGTGTAAGACATCGTGTTTTCGGTGTTAAATTTTCATTGAAAAGTGAAAAATGGTGAGCATTTTCAGTCCTATATCAGAATAAATGCCTAAATCAGTTTGTGTGCTATCTAAAAACCTTTAAACTTTTTGAAAGAGCTCGAAGATGCCGCAATAATCGTTGGATTGATTTTCGTGTCGAGACTAACTTGATTTTTCTGTGTTTCTGTTTGTTTCGCCTATTGCAGGGTTTCGTTAAGGTAGTCAAGAACAAGCAGTACTTCAAGCGCTACCAGGTTAAATTCCGCAGGCGTCGTGAGGGTAAGACCGATTACTATGCCAGGAAGCGCTTGACGTTCCAGGATAAGAACAAGTACAACACGCCCAAGTACCGTTTGATTGTACGTCTCTCCAACAAGGACATCACTGTCCAGATCGCATATGCTCGCATTGAGGGTGACCGCGTTGTGTGTGCCGCCTACTCCCACGAGTTGCCGAAGTATGGCATTAAGGTGAGTGGAATAGCGAAATTTGATTCAAGATCAAAGTCGGGTGAATAATCATGTTTTATTTTGTTATTATTTTAGGTCGGTTTGACTAACTATGCCGCTGCATACTGCACTGGCCTTCTGGTTGCCCGTCGTGTGCTGAACAAGTTGGGCCTGGACTCTCTGTATGCCGGCTGCACTGAAGTGACGGGAGAGGAGTTCAACGTGGAACCAGTCGACGATGGACCTGGTGCTTTCCGTTGCTTCTTGGATGTCGGTTTGGCGCGCACCACAACCGGAGCTCGTGTGTTCGGTGCCATGAAGGGCGCTGTTGATGGTGGACTGAACATTCCACACTCTGTGAAGCGTTTCCCCGGCTACTCTGCAGAGACCAAGAGCTTCAATGCTGATGTGCATCGCGCTCACATATTCGGTCAGCATGTTGCCGACTACATGCGCACTCTGGAGGAGGAAGACGAGGAGAGCTTCAAGCGCCAGTTCAGCCGTTACATCAAACTGGGCATCCGTGCTGATGATGTAAGTAAAAAGATACTTCTAGGTCTACGTCCATTTTCAAAATTACTGCTGCGTTCTGTCACCCACAACGCTGGCTGTGCCAAAAGTGGACCACAGGAAAACCCAGTGACCTGTGTTCGAAGTTAAATCCCTTCAATGGATCGCACTTCCTGTTATGGTTGCACATTTCACTCCGATAGAAGGATTTTTGATTTTGTTTTGCTAATTATGTGCATTTCTTGCAGCTTGAGGATATCTATAAAAAAGCCCACCAGGCCATTCGTAACGACCCTACCCACAAGGTCGCCGCCAAAAAGACATCTGGCGTTACGAAGAAGAGGTGGAATGCTAAGAAACTCACAAACGAGCAGCGCAAGACTAAGATTGCCGCCCACAAGGCCGCCTATGTGGCCAAGCTTCAGTCCGAGACTGAGGCCTAGGTGCGCTTATCACCTGTTGCAGTTCGTATTGGTGTGAAAAAGAAATAAAAATTGTAGTGAGAAACAATTGCCAATGTGTCTGTGTCACGTTAAATGCCGCAAGTTGTTTCTATTACGGAAAACGGCAGAAAGTTGTTTTTATTTGTTCGGGGATTCGATAACGAATTAATACGTTTTAGTACAAATGGCTTTTTCCATTCGAAACTAAAGTAGAATCGGTGTCAAATTCAATATTTATTTTAAATAAAAGGAATAAATAAACAATCACGCAAATCTTAAAGCTAACAGTTGAAAAATGCATCCTGAAGATTAGGAGAATGTAATTCTTAATTAGGTAAAACACATCCACGTCCGGACTACTCCTCCTCGCTTCGATCACTGTTCCCCATATTGCACTCGCCGCATTGCCCACTGGTGGTACTACCGGGAATACACAACTGGTGGTAGATATGACCACATTTGAATGCAACTAGGCCATTGCGGTGGGACGTGCTTTTCATCAGAACTGGACGATGGCATTGAGGACAGTGGTGGTCGTAGGATACATGCTGAGCACGTCGCCGAAAGGCAACCACTTCTGAATGGCTGTCAAAATAGTCGTCCAGTTGAATCTCATGGGACGTGCAGAGCACCTCCTTTTGGCTGTTGTAGTGCCAGAGCATTTTAATTACCGATTCACGCAGATTTGGTATGGTCTGTCCAAGTTTTATTTTACTAACTACTATCTCCGGATTCACATAGTCTAAAAGAGAAGAAACGAGTTGAGACGGTACATTTTGAGAAGAAAATTAGGTGTAATTGAATAACTAACCGACAATGCCGTCCAAGACCTTCGTCACTATTTCGGGCTGCTTTATGGACTCATCAATAAGCACATTCCACAGATCATTGTCATTGTGCTCCTTGCAAAACTCAATAGCCATTTCAATGTCGCTTATCTGAAAAAGAAAATCCTCGATCAAACGTTGCATTTAAACTTTTGTAGTAGGTATACCGTACACTGTGAATGATGATATTAAGGGCTTCTACAGCTTCTACTCCGCCCATGCAGCCAAGCAAGTAGACCATTTCCGGGTAGAAACCTTCGCGCTTGCAAATGGCCAACGCATCCTGTATGACATATTCCTTGGAACGTCGCAGGAAGGGCAATAGTTTCGACCGATCGTATTTTGCATACAACTCGACTAATTTTCGTTGAAATACATTGCTGCTGTTGATCTTATGAAGTTCGTCCAAGAACTAAAAAAGGGCAAGAGTGGTTATTCTGCTGTTTTGAGGTTTATATATGTATATATGTATATATATAGAATGTATACCCAGTATAGGTACTCCTGATTCTGTTCTAGCTGCTGCACGACGACTTCAGGCTTTATTTTTTTTTTGTCCAGTAATATCTTGAAGGCTCTATCGCGATCCAAGTGAATGAGTGGAATGATTAATTTAGAAATTACATCGTAGAGCTCATAGCGACGTATTAATTCAAAAACATCCTTGTTCTGTAATCTTCAAACCAAAATATTGACTGGGTATCCGTTAATAATCGAAGTACTTACTTTAAATACATCCGCAAGGCGCTCTCGAAGTCCCCTTGATACGAGTAGAGGAGGGCAAGCGATTCTAGCAATTCGTTCGCATTCTGTTTGCGAAAGTTGTCATGTATGGCATTTATCACCGCCAACCCGTCGTAGAGCTGCGGCGGCCATTCCTTGATCAGGTTAAGAAACCCCTTGGCGTCAAACTTCAGAAACTCGTACAAAACCATTTCATAGACATGGGGATCCAATTTGCAGTCCTCGGAGGTCGGCAAGTAGGCACTAACAGAGCGCAATTGTTGACATTTGACAAACTTGAAGACCTCCTCTTCCCAAAGCGCTTTATTGTTGCCTAGCATTCGCAGGCAAAGTTTGGCAGCATCTTCGTATTGTTTGAGCGTCAGCAAGTGGTTTATATACAACCTGTGAAATCAGATATTCCGGTTGGAAGTTATTAATGCTCAAATTTGCGTTTCATCGATTACATATTACTATCGATATTTTGTTAGGTTACTTTGTTTGCTATTGTTTAACAATAAATTCAAGTAATATATATTTCAGCTATGTTAAGCAAATTATTGTGCTAAGATATATATAGAAATATTAGGACGCACCTGGCAACTGAAAGAATTGGCAAGCTGCCGCCATGTGTCGATATCAGGTCGATAGCCTCCTCGAATTTACTGTTGGAATGTAATATGTAATTAAAGCGTGCAGAAAGTAAATAGAATCAACGAACAGCACAGGCCTTAAGAAATATATTTATTCGCTGTACTGTCCTCGTCGTGATCCACGAAAAACGTAAAACGACGAGTGTCCACCAAAAATATGCGGCGCTTAAACAATCTTGTGACCCTTTTCACCGCCATAACTGCCTTCTTTTTTGGCAGTTTTATTACAAAAATACTGAGTTCAGTGGACAAATGCCCGTCCCACCGGAGTGGAGTGCCTAAATTGGAGCCGCACCCGGATCTGTTTCTCATAGTGCTAGTGCTGAGCGGCCCCCGCAATGTGGAGCAGCGGAATGGCATTCGAGAGACCTGGCTTCGATTGGTGCAGCCTCTGCAGCAGCCATACTATCCCGAAGATCATATCTATTTACCTACCTATGGCCCCAATGGGCACTTGCAAATGGAATTGGTTGCTCAACAAGCAGTCCGCTTAAGGAAATTTATAAGCTGGCAGGAGAGCCTATCTAGCAAGGGATCACAAAGAACCCAGCGGAAGATTAAAGTAAAGCACCTCTTCGCGATCGGCACTGAGCAGATACCCAGCGGTCTGAAGTCTGAGTTGATAAGTGAGCAGGTGCAACACAAAGATCTCCTACTGCTCCCACGGCTGGCAGACACTTACGGCAATCTCACAGAGAAATTGCTGCAGGCCCTGGATGCAGTGACGCATCACTTCAATTTCTCCTATCTGCTCAAAGTAGACGACGATACGTACGTTAAATTGGACCATTTGCTCAATGAGCTGATTTCCTACGATCGCAAGATGCTGCGCAAGACACCAGAATACGGGCACGAGCCCCTGCCGCAGCTCTATTGGGGCTACTTCAACGGGCGGGCAGTAGTCAAGAGAAAAGGTCCCTGGAAGGAGACTAATTATTATCTGAGCAAAAGCTATTTACCCTATGCTCTGGGTGGTGGATATGTGCTCTCCCGAAAGCTCTGCGAGCATGTCGTTAATAATTCTCAGCTGCTCTCCACGTACGTTTCGGAAGATGTGTCGGTTGGCACCTGGCTATCCCCGCTGCGGCACGTTTATCGCTGGCACGATCCTCGGTTTGATACTGCTTACATGGCCCGCAAGTGTCAAACGTATCACTTGCTCTTGCACAAGCGGACTGAGGAAATGATGAGAGCAATCTACCACGGCCAACATTGTAGCGGAATTGGCCTAAGCACCCTACTGGCGTACTACTATGACTGGACGCGGACCTCGGATAAATGCTGCGACAGCATAGTTGTCTAGCCGTAGGACCGTAAGACTGGCGTATGATGGCATATGGCTAAAGGCAATCAATGAATAGGAAGTATTTACCTGTGCTTAATCAGCCACTCAACACGATCGTCCGTTTCTATAAGACTAGCCACCACAATATCCTTGGGAGCCACAATAAAATACCGATTCTCCTCAATTATGCAGCCTAGACTGTAGTCGTTGACAGTGTACTCCTCGAAGCCACGGAGCGTCAGACTGTCTGTGCAGATCTCTTCGCTGCTATTCATCTTGTACTCAATGACGCACAGCACGGGTCGAAGAGCTTTGTATGTTGCACTGCGCTCTTTACGATAGCCAAGTACCACTAATTGGTTGGACGCCAGTGGGGCCAGTCCACAAATATAGAAAGTAGTTTGAAATGTCGAGACTGTAATGCAATAAAGAATAGATACGACTAAATATAGCTGCATAAGTTCACTGTACCTACCGGGATCCACAACATAGCCCGGTAAATTGCTAGACGCGGCTTCAATCCCATTCCGCTTGCGTATCACACAAATCCTGATGGTGTCCACCCAGCCAATGAGCAATGTGTGCTCATTGGACCAGCGCAAGTGGCAGCGAAAGTTTTCGAGCCGCGCCTGCGAAGGAACTTCCCATTTCATCAATCCTAAAGAGCACTTCTCACTTAAATCATAGACGCGAACGCCGAGGTGGCTTGCCCAGGCCACAAAGTTCCCCTGCCAACAAATCGACAAGACGCTGCCTTCGACTGCACACAGCTCGGTGGGTTTCAGCTTCTTGAGGAGATTGCGCTCATATAGGGTGAGTTTGTCCTCGCCTAGGGTGAGCCAGTTAGAACAGACGTTGGATCCACAAATGTGGACTGAACATACCCACTATGAACCGTCTGACGCGAGACTTTGGATCCGGATCTAAGGCCACAACTTTGATGCACTTTCCAAAACTAAGATTCTGATTGTTCTCGCAGCTGAAGAGCCCTGTTATGTTGACCTGCAAAAAAATGCCTGTGTGTGATTGCCGCATCCACCCACCATACAACAAAATGACTCACCTTGCCATCGTCGGAGCATGTGGCAACATACTCGCCCTTTGGGTCGACGTCGACCTGGTTAACTGCCACTTTGTGTGTGTGCTGCTCGGTGCTGCTCAGATTCGACTCGACCGAGTTTCCTTGGTGATCCAGCAGGTAGACGCGTCCACGAAACGTGCCAAATATAAGAAACTGCAATCTCTTTAGTAGGAAAGACCCGTGGAACTTTGGGAAGGGAAGGGAAGGGGAATTTTGCCAACCTTGGAATGCACAGCAGTGCATGTGACCACATCTGCGTTGAGTATATTCTTGAGATCGTTGGCTATGCGCTGGTACTTGAATTTGGGCTCAACTTCTTCCTCCTCCTCAGTGCTGTCCGTTCCAGAGTCCTAGACAAGAGACAGGTATTGTTTCAGTGCACCCACAATCTCTTTCCACTTACGCTATTGGCTGGCAGCTTTTCTGCCATTTTGAACCATTAGTTTTTCAACTTCAATTACGAATCAATGGCTCTTATCAAAACATTTGCTATTTCTCTTTATTTGTTGCTTTGTTTAGATAGTTTCGTGCAAAAGATGCGATGTTATCGATATGACCGATATCCCAAAAATACCGATATTACTCGGATCGACAAAATATTTTGAAATATTTGCCAAAGTTGGCTTGTTGTTGATTCGAAACGCCTTTTATTTATGGCAAAGGGGTCTTTTTTTGGGGTGGACGGAGGGACTAGCATAGGCCCAACACTACATGAATCGAGTTCTGATTGGAGGCAGGATATGTGTGGGAACAGAGCTCATTCCGTTGCCAGCAGATGCGTCTCGAGGCTGATGTAGTTGTCCACAGTGACGGGAAACTGCCGCCAGTAGGAAGCCAAGGACACCTCAATCATGCGGTGCAGGAAGAGCATCTGGATCTTCGCATAGAGCATGACCGTCTGCCAGTGGGTGAGGCTAAAGTTCTGGATGACCAGATATAGCCGGCCGTAGTTGAGCATTCCGGCGACGACAAACGTCAGCGTCCAGGGCAGGGCAATGAGGAGGAACTTCCTCCAAGGAAAATAGGAGCCCTCCGACTGATTCAGCTCCGCGTCAAGCGCAGCCTCGTCCTCTTGGAGGTCCGATAAGGACGCCTCCTTTTGCCGGCGCACCCACTCGTTCATTAGCTGCCGCGCTCTTTCCAGCTGGCTGGAGTAGGATCTAATGAGAATGCTTCCCCGCCGTGCCCGCCGCTCGATCTCATCCTGCCTCTTCTCCGCCCGCTTCACTGCATCTCGATGGCGCCCATGCCACAGCCCAATCATCGTCAGCAGAGAGTACATCATGGACCGGGTCAGCATCAAGGGCTTGTACTGGTAACCAACGTTCAGCCGCAGGCTACGGTCCACGTTCGAGCTGCTCCAATTGAGTTTAGCATTGACCTCAACCGTGGGCTGGATCACTGCACAGACGTGTATTCCGGTGAGGAGAACGAAATATATAATGTCCCTGAGTTTTAGCATGGCACAGTTTGAATTTAAGCGTGAATCTAAACAAAAATTGTTTTTTAAAGGCTTGGTGTAGTTTTTGAATAAATTTAGTTGACTTACTTTCAGTATTGCTTGGAAAATCCAAACTAATGGGGCCAGTCCGTAACGCCACTCAGTTGATTGATGTTAAACGTATAAAACTAGTAAGCAGCAAAGAGGCGAACGGAAGCCAGCCCCATCGGAAGTCGCCGTGCACCTGGATGCGATAACACGAAAGTAGAAGCGGCGGTGGATAAATGCAGTCAATACAAAAGAGACCAGCTCAACCGCTCCGACAGAGTTGTCTGGTCTGGAGGTCACAACGTTCCTGCCCGAGACTACACAAACGCCAAGCGAGACTACGCACATTCGTGATCAGCACGTTGACAATAGATGTTTGTACGTACATACACATGTATATTTCCAATGTTTTTATTGGTGTTCTCATAAATGCGCTTAATTATTGTTTGGGTTAGTCTAATTTATGTTTTCCCGTGCGGGTCTAAGCAAATCAAAAGAACAATGGAAAATGAACCTCTTATGAAAATATACACAACTTGCGGTTTATTAACCAATTAAAACATTTAAAAAGTACCAAATAAAAAATATGATTCTCGCTTGCATACGCATACGCTATAAATACATAAGTGGAGTTACAATAAGACTAAATATAATGATAGCGAAACCAACCGTAAACGGTTTGGGGACTGGAATTTCGAAGCTCCTGTTGTACGAGTAATATTGGGGTTTGCTTCTTTTTTTGTTTTTTGTCTGTCTGCTTCTCTCGTAGTGTCTTTTCTTGTCTTGTGGTGTATGTGGTAATGTGTGAATAAATAAAAGCCTATATCATAGCGTTCTAAAATACATAATACAAAAAGTAGGCGACAGCGTCGAGAAGATCGAAAGTGGGCGTGATTAGGTTCTGTTCTGTCTAAACACCCCACACGGCCATAATTCATCTGCTGTAGTCGCCGCATCCGATTTCCTCGTTGCCCATTGTCCAGTAATGATCCAATATGTCCTCGCTGGTGAACCGAACATCGGGATCGGATTGAAGCATGTTGGCGATTAGATCGCGCACTCCGTCACCAATATCCGACCAGTACGGATCGGGGAACTCGTAGACGCCCGAGATGATGGCGTCGAAAAGCGGCTCCTGCTGGTTGTCAGGCGCCACAAACGGCGGGAAGCCGCAGAGCAGTATGTACAGTATGATGCCAGCGGCCCAAACATCGATCTGCGGTGAGCAGGACAGATGAACAGATAAATTGTATTGCAGCATTAACAAAACACACTTGTGAAGTATTTACCTTCAAGCCGTAGCCCACTTCCAGCAGTATTTCGGGTGCCACATAGGTCGGAGTGCCGCAGACGGCGTAGAGAGGCTCGGTGACCTCACAGGCCAGTCCAAAGTCAGCCAGTTTTAGTTGAACGACATTCCCAAAGTCGTCAAGTTCCACCTGCGAGCGCGAGCAGGCCACAGAGGGAACAGTGTCAAGAGGATTACTCGGATCAATCTTTTATTTTGGGACTTACCAAGAGGTTCTCCGGCTTAATATCTCGGTGCACAATGCCCATGGAATGTAGGTAAGACATGGCGGAGCCCAGATGTCTGATCATGATGCGGGACTGGCTCTCCGAAAACCGCGTCACCTGGGTGATTGCATCGAAAAGATCGCCCCCTGCGAAATGAATAGGAATTTGCGGTACGGAATTTATGATACGTTTCAGGCTCCAGCGGATCGTTTGTGGACCTACCACTCACATACTCCAGCACCAGATACATGTTGGTGTCCTGGTCCACATCCATGATGAGCGAGATTATATGCGGATGGTGGAGCTTCTTCATGACGCGCACCTCCGCATCAATGTAGTGCTCTTTGCCCTTGCACTTGCTCTTGTCGATTATTTTCAGCGCGTGAGGAATGCCCGTCTGGCGATCCTTGATTTTCAGCACAATGGCGAAGTTGCCGTCGCCAATGATTTGGCTGAGCGTGTAGTTGTCGCGTATGGCAGCTGGCAGCTCGGCAACCTCCACGCCAGTGCTCTTGAGTAGCGCTGCCTGCTCCTCGTCCTCGTTGGCGGGGGCGGCCGACGCCTGAAGCTGGGCCTCGGCCTGGGCTTTCAGCTCCCCGGGCGGGTACGCCTTTTTGCTCTTGACAGGCATTTTGGGCTTGGGACCCTTGCAAGCGGTGCCCGCCGTGCGCAGCGTCTTTCGTATCGCGTTGATGGCGCGCTGCTCCTCCGACTCCAACTTGAAGTCGTCGACGGTGTTGACCCTTTCTGTACCGTAGGCGAAGAAAACATCATCCGAGCCGAAGAAGTCGGACAGCTGCAGCACCGAGACCCCCGACAGGGTGAAGACCTTTCTCACATATCCCGTATCCAAGCGGACCACCTGCGTAATGGCGGTCAGGACATGGTCGAAGCTGGGACTGTTGCGCTTGTTCAGCAGCAACCTTATTATGCGCCGTGGCTTTGTTCCGTTCCGAATGAGGGTAACGATGCGCGGATGTACCACACTGTCTCGCTCGCTGAATCGCGAGGTATTCAGCGGACTGCCGTTGGCAGCGGCCCCTCCGCCAACTGGAACTGGCGCAATGCTGTTGGGCACTCCGTTCTTCAAGGGGGATGCGGGGCGCTGCAGCTTGGCCAAGCGGTGGCTGGACGTGCGGCTGTTGTTCGCCAGCGTGAGGTTGGCCAGCGGCTGGGAGCTGGTATTGTAATCCACCTTCTTGAAGTTCTCGTTATTGCAGGAACAAACGTAGCTCTGGCCATCCTCGAGCTCCTCCAGGGCAGTAATCTAAGGGAAGATGGGACAATCAGTTATTCTGATTATTTGTTCGTCTGGCGGATGTATATTGATTTATCACTCACCTTCTTTCCGACCATGTCGTAGATGGTCCGCACAGCACCCGGTATTTTCACATTCTCCTCAAGGAGTCGCGTCAAGTCCTCGTAGAGGCTCTCGAATGACCGATATCGTTCGTTGGACACGGGTATGGTAATGCCCGGATAGAAGCGGTCCCCATTGCGATAGAACTTGATGCGATGGGCCTTGCGGGTCGGTGTGCGGCTGCTTGTGATGCGCTTCTTCAGATGGGCCGTGGCTGACACGACGCTCAGCGATGCTGCGCCACTGGCGGAGCCATTGGTGTTGGCGGAGCCAGGTGTGCTCGTGCCAGCTGGCGCTGAAGTGGTCGAAGAGGCGCCGCTCAGGGAGCCGTTCGACTTGCCAACACTTCCACTGCCGGTCAGCGAGCCGTTCAGGTCCCTCAGCTCGTCCAGGTCCTTCTCCGGCTCTGAGTTGGAGCTGGCGGGACTATCGCAGTCCCGCCGACTGTGGGTCTCTGCCTCCTCCTGGGCCTTCTGCTGCTGGCTGAGTTGGTCGAGAAGCTGTTTTGAGTTTTGGGCTGCCGCACTGCTGGCGGCTGTCTTCTTGGGCGTCCCACTGCCGGAGGCGCTTGCCTGCAGTGAGGAGAGCACAGGGGCGGTGCAATGCAGGCTGTTGTGCACTTCCATGCTGCAAAGAAGCAACAAGAAGAGATCAGTCTATTACATCGGGCCAAAAGAGATCGTCTGTTACGGGAGCGCGGTCATTTCTAGGGAGTCTTCGTTTCGGTGCTGATTCCGTTGCTGGAATTGGATTGAATTTACTTTTCGCTTTATATATATTTATTATTATACAGATGTCTGTTGTTCCTTTGTTTTATGACAATGTTCTGAGCAGCGCCTATTATCTATTATTTTATTGACTGCTGGAGTCTGCTGGACACACAGTCATTCTCGCACGAACTGACAAACCGGTTCGGTTCTCGATTGACCCACAGCGAGTCCCCAGTCCCCCCGGACTATCTCTCAGAAGTTTCAAACCGTAATTACGCTAATTTACGTAAATTGTTTCTGCTATCTGGCTGGCCTGCTGCACTAGATTCCGTGGGGCCACAAGCTTTCTTGCCCGCTTTCTAGGCCCAGTTCAGCCCTGCCCTGCCGTGCTCTGCCATGCCCTCTCCGGGCCAGGAGTTCCGCTGCCGATGACGCCACCGTTCGCAAAAGACACACAGAAGAGGAGTCGAAAACGGGCGTGTCCGTGCCGTGGCCTATTTCAGAAAGACTCAGGGAGAGTTGACTCAACTCAGGGAACTGAGGAACCATCAACCAACCGAAAAGGCGTGGAAGCCGGCCAGCTCCAGGAAACCAGACACGCACGGGCCGGGACTTTGTCACTCGTCTGGTTGGTTGTTAAGGAACTTCATTGCTGTTAGGAGATTGGTGGGACGGAAGGAAGGAAGGAATACTCTTAGGTCACCGATTTCCCCAGGCAGTCGCTTCAGGCAGATCATTGTCAGCGTACAGAACCCGGGTAGAAGGCGTTGCTTTTCCATATAGCATGTACAAAAATTGCAATAACAATGACATTGAAAAATCTTTTCATTTTGTAGGAAAAAGTATAAACGACATTTCCTATTTATTTACATCCAGTTTATTGGACGAATATTAGACCGTTTTAACCGTTTTAATAGAAGGAAGCATTCTTAAGTGCCTAATATTTGGTTGCCCATCAGAGTTTCAGAGTGAAAAACGCACCTTTGCGAAATTGACTCGGTTTCTGAAAATTATTCCTGGTACCCTAGAGCTATATCGACATCATTCTTCACATCAATACCTTGTTTTTCTTTAGTTTATCAAATGGACTGCAAAATTAGATGAAAGATTATTGTATGTACTGTACTGTATGTACCAACCCCCAGGAGGGGATCACTGTACTGTATAGTACAGTAGTCAGTATAGTATGGACTATGTCATATCCTATGTATATAAAGCCTATTTACATATGTATCATGATCTTGCGGAAAGTAGTTTATTCCTGAATGCTTTGCGGTATGGTATGCGTATGAAACGTTTTGATAATGACGTATGAATGTGTGAGTGTGTGAGACGATTCTTAAGTTGAGCTTTCCGAAGACTTCCGATCTACTCGATTCCCACTCTCGGTTGCGTGTGCAATCTCCGGTCCATCGGATCAGTGGATCAGCGGAGAGCGTCTGCTTTCAGGCATTTTGTATTTTGTTTGGAATGGCGATATTTGTATCTCTGCGGTTGGTATAGCTGATGCCGATGTCCATGGCGATGTTGGTCGGGCCTGTTGCCTGTTGACTTTCGCCTGTCGGCCTGCTACCTGGATGTCGTTCTCCTCCATGCTGTCGATTGGGTACACGTGCACGAGTATGAATGCACATGGGGCTGCAACTCCATTACTGCACTATGGGAGCTACTTGCTATGACGACACCTGCAGCAGAGGCACAACCGTGTCGCGTCTGGGGACTATGCGCGCTGTAAGTGCTCGTTAGTGCATTGGCTGTTAACGTAATTAACACACAACCAAGGCGACTCGCGAGGCGGAGCAAGGCGCTCCCGGAATATCGACTAGGTGCTCCTGCACTTCTTTGCCTATTCCTCCATGCCCCCATGGCTCCATTCCCCCTTGACCCCAATCACTATTTGGACCAAAGACGAGGGCTTTGCGCTCACCCTGCATTTGCAAGTGGGTCAAAAGTTCTCCGAGTTGGCCACCTGACGACCTGAAGACCTGAAGACTGGTGCCGAATGGAGCCTATGGAGTGCAGCGGGCATGACTCTTGGCATTTTGTTTGGTTGCTCAGACAACGACGCGTCGCAACGTCTAGAAGTCATTTGACCTTTTTGTGGCTCTAAAGTGGGGGTTTGGGATTCGGAGGAGGATGACATTTACAAAGGGAAATATGGGAAAAATGATGACAAGCAACCAACGCGCTTCGTGGGCCGAAGTGTTTAATACCCTTCCAGATCGATCGTTCCCATCATCTAGACATGTTCCAATTGCACATCAGCGAGCATCGTGCATCTGCTGGTGCATGGCGTATTGCAAGACGCGAGGATGTGGCAAAACCCCTCCCTTTGCATGGGCGGAATAAGGTAGTTCTGCCAGAGACTTTTGCGGAGGGAGTGTTCGTGTATTGAGCTGCGCTAAAAATCGATAAGCATGTGCGTTGGCGGCTTCCAGTGGGTTGGGTGACTGGCTGTGTGTCTGGCTTCCAGTGGGAGAACCGACGTCAGTGGCAGAAGGCAGTGGGCAGTGCGATAATGGGTACCCGAGAGGGACGGAGCTCCACACAGATATCCGATCCCCTCGAGAGGGCAGACGGCAGACCGCAGACGACAGACGGCACAGCAGATATCGAATTTATAATTAAATTTCACTTGTAAACAAGAACGAATAAATATTTGAACTGACATTCGCCGAAAATGGCCGCACGTTACGAAAACGATACTGTGACGATGGTCACAGAAGAGAGACCCCCGACTGGAACAGACTGGAACCGGGGGAGCCGGAACGGATGCCGACTCGGATCGAAGGGGTGTTCACTGAACAGGTGCGTTGTTGCCTCGGTGGTTGCCCCCAACAACAGCAACAGCAAGTCTATGGCAAGCAGCACATTTCGGAGCTGTGTTTAGCTCTCATTTCGTTTCGTTTCTTTTATTATACCCGATACTCAATATGAGTATTGGGGTATATTAGATTTTTGGTGAAAATGGATGTGTGTATCGTCCAGAAGGAATCGTTTCCGACCCCATAAAGTATACATATATATTCTTGATCAGCATCAAAAGCCGAGTCGATTGAGCCATGTCTGTCTGTCCGTCCGTCCGTCTGACCGTCTTTCCGTCCGTCCGTCTGACCGTCTGACTGTTTTGGATCCAGACTTCTGTGATATGTCACTGCTACAAGAATATTTCAGAATTTCGCCCCACCCACTTCCGCCCCCACAAAGAACGAAAATCTGTGTCATCCACAATTTTAAAGATGCGAGAAAACCAAAAACGCACAATCATAAAGAATGACCATATCTATCCGGTTGCAGAATCTGGATCAGATCAGATAATTTTTATAGCCAAAAGGAACAAATCAATTTACAGTGGCTACGCAGCGCCCGACGTCACGCTCAGACTGATTTTCTGTCTCTCTCGCACGCACTCTTTGTCGTGTCGCTTAATATTAGCGCCCTCTGGCGGCGGAGAGCCATACTGACTAAGTATCGGGTATAAATGTAGAGTTGCGGTCTCCGCAGCAACTCACAACGTTCCCTCTCGTTTTATTTTTCATAGTTCATAAAAGTTGTTAATTAAGTCGTAATCGTACTCTCACTCGAGGGAGCGCCGAAAGCGGTATCTATCCAATGCCATCCACTACTCAGCTATGCTCCGGTCCATTCCCGCCATCGAGTGCACTCCTCCCTCCTGTGGATCTCAAAATGAGGTAGTAGTTGGGCTAGTGAAAAAGAACTCTCGCCCAAAGAGAAATTAATCAATGTCTCGCTCTGTGAAGAACCCTTTGCAGATGCATCCCCCAATTCACAGTGGGCTAAATGTTTATGTTGTAAATATATATACATGTACAAATAGGAACTGCATAAATTTCAGATTTCCGCCCCTTAAAATGTTCTATTTTTACCATTCTTGCCTGCTTTCGACAATAGCCACTCAAAATGCATCTCCTTTAATTTTTCATATATCCACGGCATTCCGGCAAGCTCCTTTGGATTTAATTGTCCAGGGAACATTCATTTAACGAGTTTTGGCACATTTTGGCACAAGTTGGCACAGCATTTGATTAAGTCTTCTCTAATTTTGGAAAGTGCATACTTCATTCATAAAATTTACCTCATTTACAGGCTCACAAAGTCCAGAGAGTCTGTGTCTTTCACCACCGTTTTCTTTCACCAACTCGTAGTAAAGTAGTAAATAAAACATTCGACTTTGATGGGCTTCATGTTGGGAAATAACGCCTGCCTGTCCCACTGTACGTAGGTGGGGCGAGCAAAAGGGAACGCACACTCAATGCAGCATCAAACAATGGGCGCCCAGTCAGGGTATTTGTAAGGCTGATTAGGTCATGAACTACAGTAGCGAGCGACAAGGGGACAGACGGGCAGGTGTCCTTGGCAGTCGCCAGACAGCTATCCGGCCACAACCAGCTGAAGCAGAGGTGGCGGCTACGGTGGCTTCTGCCAGGTGCTCAGCAACCCTTGAGCTGCGGCACAAAAATCCGGAAGTATTGCCCTGAAAGACGTCGGAAGTTGTGGGCGAACGAGTGGGGGCAAGGCGAGGCATATTCCCGCAATGCAAAACCCCTAAAGAATCTGGATGTGCAAGCGCCAGGAGTTCAATTGAGAGAAGCCACCCTACTGGCTGCTGGTCTGCAGGAACACTGTCTGCTGTGTGCGGTCCCAGAACCGGGGGTTAAGAGAAACACTTCCCTTCCAGACAGAGCCAAGACAAAGCTGGCACTATCTCAATTTTAATGGAACACCTGACGCCACGGGAGACTCCCAAGAGATATCTAACGTACTGTAAAAGGCTGCAAGGACAGAAAGGCTCCTCAAGGAGTCTGAAAACAAGACCCACAGCCATGTGACACATCCTACAGCCGTAGCTACGGAATGGAAAAGTAAAAGTTCAGCTCTTGTGCTGCGCCTCTCGTGCTACTTCTTGCACTTTATAGAAAAGACTCCTTTCGTTCTTGTTTCTCCCCCAGAAACCGACGCCGACGCCAACATCTGGCCAAAGGGCTGTTCTCAGAAATGTCCTTGAACTTTCATCATGCCAACCCCACGATTCGCGAGACCAGACCCAGATAGTACTGGTCGAATACGAATAGGCAAATCATTGAATGAGAAACATTCATGTTTCATGTACATATTGTAGCCCATATTATATGTATATAATATCCTAGGCATAAATCACTCGTCAGTCCAGGGCAAGGCCGTCCAAAGTTGTTCATTTGGTTCTTTCGAACCAAGCGAAGTTCACAACTTGAAACCACTGGACACAGAGAGATAGAGAGAAAGAGCGAGAGAGAGAGAAGGAGAGCGTCAGATGGGTGGTAGGAACGAACACTTTAATCGCTTTGGCTGAAGACACGAAAACAAAACCGGCAATTGAACGAATACGAAACATTATGCATGGCGTTTCGATTGGAGTCCGATTTACCGAGCCGGTTCACTGTTCGCTGAATGAAAATGAAAATTGCAAAGCGGTCATCGGGATAATTAGCGAACGAAACGCAGTGTCGGAAAGTCGGACCAATTTGGAAGACCGGTGGACCAGCGCAAGGGAATGTTCGTTTGGTCGCGTTGCCTGGTTCCACACATCGAGTGCTCACTGTGTGCATATGCATGTATCTACTTACATGTGTATGCATGTAAGACGGCTGTCACGGCGCTACTCGCAATCCGAGCAGCAGCTGAGAGACCAGGCACAAGGCAACACAAAAGCTGCTAAACAAAAACCGTTGCAGTTCATTGAAACTTGAAGCCTTTCGGGGCAGGGGTTGGGGCAGACGATGGGGCAGGGGTTGCGGCAGGGCTTGGGTCTGGATCTGGCTGTTGGACGGACGGAGGTACGTTGGAGATCGAACAAACAGGAATTGGGGCTGCATTCCACTCAAATTTCATCCTGCGGATGCGGACAGTACTCAAATCTGTTCTTGAGCCCCAACACACATCATTGCTGAGATCTGCAAATGGCGGCAGGGCAAGTCGCCAAATGCGGCTCGTGGCCACAATAAAGGCGATGCTGAGCAGGAATTTCTGTTCGTATCATATCAGTTTAATTGGCCTCTGTTTGGGTTTCACTTTTCAATTGAGTATCTCGGGGGCTTGGTGGGCGGCAGGGCATGGAATCCGCGTGCGGCTCATAATGCGGACAGCAGTGAAAGTTTTACTTCAAGGTAGAAGCAATCCATTTACCTCTGGCTGTTACAAGCAGAGACGACTAGACTAAAGGCGGTTCGGGCAACACTCTCGTTCTAACGAACCCAAGCACAGTCGGCATGCGAGAATGTGTGAACACAATGAATCATCCAGCCGACTTCGCCCTCTGCCGCAGAAGAGAAAACACAGCTTTAAGCCCGTAGAATTCGATGGTCTGCCTGGTGTGGTGGCTCGTACGGAGCGGAGACAGTAGATTGGAGAGAACGAATATGTTTACTGGCGATAAGTCAAACAAAATCAGCAGAGAGATAGCTGAAAGGGGAACTGAACTAATACGCGTACGAGCACGAGCACGAGTACGAGTACGAGGGTATGGCAAAATCACGTTAGCGGGGAGAACGGGTTGTTTTTTTTTTTTTGACTGGAACGTTGCGAATGCACGGCAGAAGACGGCTCGATTTGTTTTTTTTTTTTCTTTTCCAGCCAGCGACCCAGAGACCCCACCCTACTCCTCCCCACCGCTCTGGACGGACTGCTATCAAAATAGCGAACGGCGCTGGCTTATCTACGATTTCTTTTCACATTCAGGTGCGGTGCGGGTGCGGTCCTCGCCCCGCCCCGCCTCCTCACAGAGGCAGATGTCAAGTGTCGCAATGGGTTATTTATATGCATTTTTGTTTGGTTTTATCGTGGCCTCACCTTGTGTACCAAACCAAACACAGTAAGTCCGCTTAAGCCAACAAGGCAGTTTTTGTTTTATTCCTCCTCCCGTTCGGTCTGCTTTCGTTGTGTTTCTCCACTGCTCTGTGAGTGTTTTGCACCAGTCCACTCACTGCAGATGGGTTGGGGTTGGGGTTGGGGTCGGGCCTCTCTGTACTCACAAGAATGCAGCTAAAAGCACAAACGTTTGGGTATAATTAGCTAAAACAAATTACACTTTTCTATTCCACTCGAATCATTCCCGCTTGGTTTCCCTTTTTGCTTTTTCGCTTCTTCGCACATTTCACTTTGGCCTGCGTTTTCGGGCTCACGCTAACCGCTCACCTCACCACCGCTTGCGACACTCCCTCATCACAGATCACAGATGAACGCTGGCGCGAATCTCGTACGCGATACTGCTGCTGACTGCCGATAGAACTTTTCACTTAATTTAATTTAAATATTAGTGAAAATCATAGGACAAAATAGAACTCGCGGAAAAGATAGTACGATAACAGCCGCGTACTAGAGCAGGAAAACCATCGATACATTGTGACATCGTTTAGTCCGCACGGCACAACGCGCTTGTCAGAAAATTGTTTGTTACTCAAACTATTAGAATATAAATTTTCCGATTTGTGTTTGTGTGCGTGCGCGTGTAGGGAGTAACGAATTAAACAAATTTATTTAAAAATATTTACTAGCGTCTCGCGGCGGCCATATCGGCCAGATATTTCGAATGTTTACATTTGCTCAATTTACACGGTAACTACACATTTGCTACATAATGAGAGGAAAAAGAGGGTATGGAAAATGGGTAAAACAGCCCAGAATGGCAACGCATCTGGTAAAATCCACTACTTTTGTCCAATATGCTTTGATCCGGTCACACGCTAGGTGAGGTCCGTACGGAACATTGCAATTTTCCTTGGCTGTTTTTGCCCGTTGTCTATACCCTTATTTATAGGCCATTGAAAATGAAAACTCATTTTTTCGTTGCAGGAGTGAGTCTGCCTTTCAGAAATACATATATAGCGTCTCGTTTTCAAAATATACCGTAAATACACCGATAAAAAAAAAGAACTTGGCCAAGGGGGTTCTTTATTTAAACAGTATAATAACTTGAGGAAAAACGCGGAAATTAGATCTATGTAAATTCTCTTTACTTAACAAATAAAAAAACCACCACATCTTTCACTGTGCTGAAATTCTTCATCATTTTCGTGGAGTGTATTTCAATACCAACTGGTCGACAATGGGTTCATCGTTCTATGTCCATGATCAGAAATCAAATTCCTCGATTTGGATATTCCAAGACAGGACACTTAGCTCGGAACACATAATTTTTTCAGATTGACAAATTAATTTTCGACAGGATTGGCTAATTATGAGGAGTCCTTTTTTTTGATTGTGTCTAAAATTAGGTTAAAATAAAAAAGGTCAAAGCTTAAAACATAAGTAATACCATATTGCATTTAATTAATATTAAAATTCTGTTTTCCAAGCTGATTTGAGAGATTACTAATAAATATATCAATCCCAATATCTGTTCTTGGGCTTTGTAAGAAGATCACTAACTGCAAAATTTCGTTGAGACAGCTTTAAAACAGAGACCGACTAGTTGCTGCGTTCATTGGAGTGGTAAATCCCAAAGGAATGAAGTGAGAAGTGAGTCACCTCCAGGTTACTGTATGATCTCCTCCAATGCACGTCCTTGTTAAGGAAGGATGATTCAAGGATCACCAAGAATCTTGGAATCTTGGAATATACTTGTGCAACAAGCCACATCCATAGTCATAGCCATCCATGCCTTGACCATATATAAAGTGTATAATTAATTGTAGTGCCTAAAGAGTGCCTTACAAAATGCCCTTATAAATATGTAAACATCTAAACAATTAGCGATGCTTTTGTTAGAGAACAGTATTGATTGAAGGAGAAAAAGTCCCTTTTTAGGCAAATCATATAAGAACGATAGGGCTCAGTCGTCATCCATGCATCATCGCTTCACATATATTCATATAATTTTTATGCATCTGTAGACGCCGTATCTAGATAGTTTGAGTTTTGTCGAAAATTGTATCTGAAATTCTAGAGATGCGCAAGATGTGGATCTCCACTTCGGGAATGATTCTACTTTTGGCATTTATACACGTTTTGCTACACGTCAACTACATATTTTTGGAATAAACGACAACGGGCGTCCAATTTTTGCGTCATAAGGCCCGCAGGGTTATATGTATGTTTCCGTCTTATTTTCGGATAAACAACATAATATGTATTTTCTCCTTTGCTTTTTAAGTTTTTTTCTCATATGGGCCAGGCCACAGATACCCTACAGTCGTATGTAAATATAAAGCAAGCTATTGGTTAACATAATTTGTTCTCTGTTTATTTATATTTGCAACCTGTCCAGCAGGACAATCAGCTAATTTTGGAAGTTGAATGGTGACATTTAATAGTACATAGAGTACAGAGAGTTGTTTAAGGTGTTAGATGGGTGGGAGGTGGCAGGGGAGAGGCGTTCAGTGCGTGTTATGAGGCGGATCCATTGGGTGTAACCTTTTTAAACGGCGGACGATGGCGCTACTATCGAGCAAATTGATCGCTAGAGGGTTGTTGTGTCTGTCTAGACGATACAGGTAGGACTTGGTGCTCGTGGCGATTTCCTGTTAGACCCAGGGAATGTCATGAGTGTCCTTATTGGTGAGATATGGGTGTGCTCTAGAAATGATTCTGAGAGCCTTATTTTGTAGTCTCTGGTTCTCCCGGTTACTGTGCCACAACGTCCTCACTGACACATAAGGGGGGTTGGCTGAATTTTCCCAGTTTTTTTTTTATCGTTCTTTTTGATAGAGTAATATTGGTCTAACTATTGCTAGATATATCCATCTTAGCCCAATAGCTGTTTTGCATGTGTAGAGTGCAGTCGTTGCCTTCTCCACTCTATTTTTGACATTCAGGTTCCAATTCCGCATCTTGTCAATTCGCTAAAGGAGAGCCTGCATCCATGTAATATTGGTGGGTTGAGGAGGAGGACCTAGTATTTAATCCCAGGCCGCGCGATAGTGTCCATTCCAACAGTTGCGCTAGCTTTGCGGGGATTAAGTCGCAGTGTTTGTGGGTATTTTCCCGAGAAGATAATTGCCACGTCGTCCGCGTAAGCCCCCCTTCCAGGACGCATAGAATCTTGTTGACTGCTATGTTCCACAGAAGAGGAGACAGGACACCACCATGCGGGGTGCTTCTGTTGACATGCCTTAACTGGGCGGACGATCCCATCGATGATGTCACAGTCCTACATATGAGCATCACCATGTGACGGTCCACCTCATGGTCAGTGAGGGCTTCCGGTATGGCGCATAAAACAACGTTGTTGAAGGCTCTCTCAATATCGGGGAAGGCTATTAAGGTCAAGTAAGTACTCTTTGAGATGCAGAGATTGCACTAACGCTAAGGATTACTTCATGAAGTGCCGTTTCCGTGGATTTTCCTTTCCGGTAGGCATGCTGTGCGCCTGACAGCAACTTAGGGTGTATAGTTGTCCTCAGTTGCAGCTCGACGAGTCTCGAGTTCATCAACAAAGTATTCCCAAACATCATTTCCACCTACAAAAATAATAAATGGTTGAGTGAGATGACCTTGAGTACATAATTCAGAGCGAGATCAATCGAACAATGCATTCATTCAAATCTATTGATTGTGTTACAAATGAAGATGAAGCCTTCCAACGGAATTTTTAAATTCCTTGAATGTCCCTGGCTTCCCACCACACAATTTGCGCTAAAGATTGACTCCGCAGATTTAATCATACTATTATAAACATAAACCAACCAAGACTGTGCAACGGTAAGGGTTTGATGCTAAGAAAATGTATGAACAATTTAATTTACGCGACGATACTCAAAGGAGAACTCGAAGGTGAGGAAGTTCTCATTCCCAGGATTCCGATGATCCCAACAGATATGCCGTTTGACTATTAACAAATCACAAGCCTATCTTCGAAAGTGTGTGGTCTAAATCTGGAAAATCAATGTTTTTCTCATTGCCAATTATATGTGGCATCTTCACTGGTCGGAAGACCATCTGCGTTGTTTGTTTTTGCGCCTGATAAAAAAAACAAATATTTTATGCACAAGGAGACTAAAGAAAAAAAAACAAACCAAAAAAAAGGAAAAAAACCTATTCAAGAATAATTAAGAATTAAAAAAAAACATGATAAAATAAAAAATCAGCTTATTTATTGCCTGTAAGGCGGAAAAAAAATCTTCTAAAAAATGTTCTCTTTAAATTAGCCACATTTAATTAAGAACTTTTTTTTTTGCTGCGTGACAGAACAACATCTGTCATCTGCCGGGTCAGCTAGTTTTTAATATAAAACAAGTTTTTATAAAAACAGAATAAAATGATAGTGGAGTAGCACTATGAAATAAGAACGAAGATACAATCTGTACATACAAATCATAGCCCATTAGTAATATTTTGTAGATGCTTATCCAAGTTTTTACTTTTAAAATAATTTGGGCATAAGAGCATTACGGACTTGGATAATTTTCGATGAAACTTTCGATCGTTACGAATGCCAAGCGGCTGAAAATTTCACAATTCATTCTCAATGGTGGCCATCGGCGTAGGTGTGTTTTCAATCACCTAGAAAGAAGCTGTGCTGTTTCGGTTCCCCTCTAAGTGCATCGAACGCCTAACAAGGTGGTACGACACGGGTCCGGGTCGCCAGCTTTTAAAGCAGGTAGGTAAGTAATAACTGGCCTGCCAGAGTGCAGTGCAGACATTGTCTGATTTTTTGTTGTTGTACAGGTTGTTTATTGAATTGTGGTTTGTGTTTCTGCATACATTATTACATATAATATATTCGTTTTATCTAATTTTTACATTAGCTATATCGCAAGCCTTCATTTGTGGTCGTGTCCACGTGCACACTCTCCAACCGCTTACAAAGACATCGAAAATAAAATCAAATAAAAAGTATAAATATATAAATCAACATTTAGCATATAAAATATAGATGGTACTAGTACATCGTTATCGCAACTTAATGCTAGCTTTGAAGACGCGCTCAGGGTGTATTGTGAGCTGGGACCTTCGACCGACTTATCCAATATTCGCTTTATGAAACCCCTTCGACAGCTTCTTCGGCTTTTTGAAGCTAGTCGTTGAGACGACTATTGAATTTTCGAGGAGTTTTATAATTAACTAACCTTGCGTTTCGTTATTTTTATTATGTACTTTTCAAATATTTGTATAATTTTTTCTTATTTTGGTTCGACTATTAATTTCAATTTACGACTTTAAATTTGGTGCTCAAAAGTGGGTCGAAAAGCAAATGTGGTATAATAAAGCTCGGCTAAGGGACTACTTATGTATAACTGTGAAAATGCGGCGGACTCCTTCGGATTGCAATAGCTTCTCAATAGCTCCGCAC